TAAAGGGTATACATACGCCATCGAGTCGAAAGTTTCGAGGAGAAAGGAATTTTTACGAGCAACAAGCGGCACGATTTCCTCTCGAAATCTGATAATCGAAATTCGATCATCGACGACCGCGAAACTTCTGGACGAGATTCGATACGATGCAAAATTTCGAACGGTCGTCGGTCGTGTGGATGATGCGAAGAGGAGAAAATGGAAAACCACCGTATCGACGATGGTGTCGTTTCCAATGTGTGCATTGAAATTATCCGTATATTGAAGAATTTTTAAATTAAATCCTCTTTTCTTTTTTGCATACATTGAAATGTATGTACATATATGCAAATGACGAGGGATCCCTTAGAAATTTGTGTTCACCGTCGCGTGAACTACACGCGATTAAGTTAACCGGATATTTAATTAACTCTGGTAATTTTAAAACTATTATATTCAAAGTAGTAAAACTATCGTATCGATAGCAAATCGAATTACGCGTTTATTTTAAATTAACCCCTCGGTGAATCCAGTGATTTTTCGCGAAGAGTTTGAGAATAATCGATCAGGGCGGGAATAGAAAAAAATGGGAGAGTGAGTAAGATGGACGATAAAGGTGGATAAAAATTTCAGACAGTTGCAGAGCCGGAGACTCGAATTTCCAAAACTTTCGAACAAAACTTTCGTCATATTTTCCTTCGTAGGTGCGGTGGGAAAAGGGAGAAAAGTTCGAAGGCGTGTCGAAGCCATCGCTAGTCTCGCGTGGCCGTGGTCCACCGTGGCTCCCCGGCAACGTGTCTGGAAACGAGTATAGACCGTTGTCGGTGTCTCCTCTGGCCGACACTCCTGTCGACGAATTAGCTCGCCTACCCTTTCATCTCTTTCGTCTCTCTTTATATGTGTGTGCCGGGATTCGGCATCTCTTTCCCTTCGAATGCTCGCGGTTCTCTCTGCCCCTTCCTTTTTTCCCCTCTCTTTCTCGGCGTTCGCTAACGTCCCTCCCAAGCGAGAAGAACGAGGCTTTCTCGACACGACGTAATCCAGTAATAATTCAAGAGAAGCGGCAGGCGGCCACAAGCAGATCCAACGCCACAGCACAGCTAGGCTCCTCTTTCCACAGCTTTGGATACGCCGCGTTCTCTCGCGGCCGGCCCGAGGCCGTTCCTCGCGCTTCCTCCACACCACCATCTCCAACTCCATCCAACTTTCGACTCTCGAAGGTTTCCAGAGGAAACCGCGGCTTGTTTGCACGTCTAGGATAAACATCGGCCGCCTCGTGGAATCGAGGGAGAGGCGCGTCACGCGGAAAACGGCGTGCTTTTCTTTCTCCCCGAACGACCTCCCACCCGCCTCTCTCCCTATCGCGGCTCCCGTCCGTCACCCCTTTGGCGGCATTCTTTCATGTCCTTTTCGGTTTACAATGTACGTAAACGATCTCCAAGGGGAGTGCTTTGTCTTTTCAAGGGATATTAGATTTGAAACGGGACGCTTTTAGCTCCCCGGGCGATGCCCCTTTTCGCGGGAATCGTTTCAATTCAACGAGGAAAATTATTTCGTTTTTATCCAGAGCCCCGGGTATATATGCTAACCGAGAGTTTTCAACCCTGCTTTCTCTCTCTCTCTCTCTCTCTCTTTTCTCTTTTGTCTCGTTTCGTTGTTTCGCCGTTCATATACCCGCCTTCGTTTGCGCAGATCCCTGGAAAATTTTAATTCGACCGCTCGTCATCGTCGCCGCGAGCTCGAAGAGAACAAGGTTTCGAGATTTTTTAGATCAATTTGTGTAAGCCCTGCAACGGTTAGAGGAGGGAATAAAGAACGATATCGGATGCGAAGGATAATTGAGAAGGGATGGGATTTTTTTTTTTTTAAGAATCGAATTCGATCGAATCGAATCGGGATCGTTGACGAAGCGCTTTGTGAACGCCCTCGCTTTTACAGGTTTTGTTTCTCTTTCTGCGATAACGATAACGAGTGTTCTAATAAACCGATAATTTATTACTCTTGAAGCTTAAGAATTAAAATTTCGAAGTCGATAGTCAACAAAGTTGATCGATGAATTAATAATAAACGGTTATTCGGTCTAATAGCTGGAAACGTTGAACTCGATAACATCGATTAAGACCGATTTAACTCTTGTTCGGGTGTTCCACCACCGTTGTCACTTTTCATTGCTGAACGCCATAGACAGACGTTTCTTGCTCTCTCATCCATTTACAAAGTCTCGTTAAAAATCTGTGCGCAACGCATTGTGCGGTCCTGTTGAAAGGGCTCGTTTTCACGGTGCGGTGCATTTGCGGCGTATGTAAACGAAACAAGGAAAAGAAATTCCCTTTGAATGCCACTTTTCGAGGCTGACGCTTCACCTCGAGGATTCCTCTTTTCTTTTGCCGCAAGATAAAAAAAAAAAAAGACAAAAAAGAAAAAAGGGCCGAGTGCCTCTGAGAATTAATGTCGCCAAATTGGCCCGCTCTCGCGCAAATCCACGATCGTTTACGTATCCTTTCGATGAATCGTCCATTCGAGAATCGTAAATTGTTGCGTATTTATGATTCGATTGTGATTTCCTCCCCTTTTTTTTTACGATTTTCGATTTTTCTCTTGGTGCTAATTCTGCATCCCATTAAATCCGATAAAAGATTTCGAGAATGATTTCGATTCATCGGTGGAGTAATATTTATGTGCAACAAAAAAAAAGAAAAAGAGAAGAAGCGAATCGACTCATTGATATCGATATTTTTTATATATATATTAAAAGTTTAATAAGAACGGGGTAGGTTTGGAAAAAGGAGAGAAAGGGCATGTACGAGCAGATGCCTTTAACCTGGCTCCGATGAAACCATTATTTCGACCGTCTACGCTCCCTCGCCACGATATTGGCGCTTTACGAATTTTTTCTCTTTCTGTTCTCATCGAAGAAAAGCCACTTCTGTCGTTTGTTTCCGCGGTTGTTTCCCAACCGCCTCGGGCCACGTTCCCATTCCAACCCCTCCAACTCGTAAGCCATTGTTCCTGCGTCGATACGTCCGTCTTTCCAATGAAAACAGAGGAGCTCGCGAAACGATCCACCTTGCCTTCCATTTCTTCGAAGAAAATCGTTATTCACGCGCACAAAGTACTACCATCTAAGCTCTCTTTCACATGGATGGATCTTACATGAATGGATAATTGTAACTCGTAAGAGTTGTAAGAGTTGAATTAAATTAATACACGTTTGTTTATTTCTTTAGAAGAAAAGAAGAAGAAAAGAACGAAGCATGCAAATAATCAAAATCAACGATAATTCTGTTTTGCATATGAATATGTAGACCACGATGGATTATACATGGAGCAATTTCTTTGTTAGCAGTTATTCCTGCTTTTAAATATAACTTCGTGTAATAATAATACGAGTTAAATCAAAATAATTCAAATTACAATATAGTTAGCTTCGTTATTACATTATCTATATATGATCCATCATGTTCTACATATAAAAAAATTTTCATTAAAATTTACAATAGATAAATTTTCTTGTAAAGGTGCGAATATATTTGACAATAAAATTCGAATAAAACTCTCGAGGGTTGCTTTCGAAAGTTATTTCTTGTTAGTGGATACAATAAAAGTGTGACAATTGCTCTCGAATAATTACTCTTAACACACACAGTATCCGCTAACGAAAAATAATTAAGTTACTCTCGAGAGTTTCCAAATGTATTCACACCTAAAGTAACGTACCAGAAGTGTTGTAACTGATTGTTGTAATTGACATAGAAATAAATAATAATATTCACACTGTAATTACATGGATCATTTTATTCACAGTGGATTGTACAATAGAAGAATAGTGCTACGAAATTAGACAATGCATCGGACGAATATTTTACGATCGGACGAGTGAATCGCAATTTACGAATCATTGTGAACCAAGGATGGACGAACGCCTATCGCATACGTGAATTGCATACGAGAAGAGAGCCAACCATTGCTGGACAGAAGAATCGTTGGAGGAAATTTTTACATGAAGAACTACGAGGAAGACACTCCCTTTTCGACTTGGCTACATCGAAGTGGCGCGTCTGCCGGATGGTGATCACTTTTGTCGGCCGCTCTCTCTCCCGTCTTCACCACGACGCTTTGACGGGGCCACTCTTTCCGCGCTGGCTGTTCGCGCTTTGCAAGACGGAAATCGAGCGTGCAAACGGCAACTCCGATTCTCGTCGAACGCTCCATTAAGAAAGTACGCCGACCGGCCTTCTCTGCCGAGGAAACCAGAATCAAAGCTCGAAAGTTGCCTCTGCTAATCGGATCGCTAATCGGACCCCTGATCCGTGACACGAATCAAGCCTTCGTTAATTTGCGCGATAAATATCGTATGTATGAATACATAATAGTTAGCTTTTTTGTAATATGAATTGTATAATAAATATTTTGATAAATAAATGAATTGTTCAATATAAAAATTGTAAAATTTTTTTTCCAACCCATATCCCTTCCCATATTTTCTCCACAAATTTTCTTCAAAATTATTAAAAAATCATTGCTATATATACTTTTTACAATTATTTTCTTTATTTAATTTCAGGAATAGAATAAAAACGAATTCAAAACTATAATTAACTATTTTTAAATGAAGACACAATACATAAGTATCATGGTTCCCGAGAAAAATTTCGAGTGCCACCTCTTTGCATATCATATTCTCCTAATGAAAAGTCGAAAATTTGTGCCAGAAACTTTGTAAAATTGGCCTCTGTTAAAAATTTCGAGTGCCACCTCTTTGCATATCATATTCTCCTAATGAAAAGTCGAAAATTTGTGCCAGAAACTTTGTAAAATAGTGTCTCTATTAAAATTCGAGTGCCACCTCTTGCATATCATATTCTCCTAATGAAAGTCGAAAATTTGGACCAGAAACTTTGTAAAATTGGTCTCTGTTAAAAATTTCGAGTGCCACCTCCTTTGCATATCATATTCTCCTAATGAAAAGTCGAAAATTTGGGCCAGAAACTTTGTAAAATTGGTCTCTGTTAAAAATTTCGAGTGCCACCTCTTTGCATATCATATTCTCCTAATGAAAAGTCGAAAATTTGGGCCAGAAACTTTGCAAAATTGGTCTCTGTTAAAAATTTCGAGTGCCACCTCTTTGCATATCATATTCTCCTAATGAAAAGTCGAAAATTTGTGCCAGAAACTTTGTAAAATTGGTCTCTGTTAAAATTTCGAGTGCCACCTCTTTGCATATCATATTCTCCTAATGAAAAGTCGAAAATTTTAGCCAGAAACGTTTGTAAAATTGGTCTCTGTTAAAAATTTCGAGTGCCACCTCTTTTGCATATCATATTCTCCTAATGAAAAAGTCGAAAAATTTGGGCCAGAAACTTTGTAAAATTGGTCTCCGTTAAAAATTTCGAGTGCCACTCTTTGCATATCATATTCTCCTAATGAAAAGTCGAAAATTTGGGCCAGAAACTTTGCAAAATTGATCTCTCTTAAAAATTTCGAGTGCCACCTCTTTGCATATCATATTCTCCTAATGAAAAGTCGAAAATTTGGGCCAGAAACTTTGCAAAATTGATCTCTCTTAAAAATTTCGAGTGCCACCTCTTTGCATATCATATTCTCCTAATGAAAAGTCGAAAATTTTAGCCAGAAAGTTTGTAAAATTGGTCTCTGTTAAAAATTTCGAGTGCCACCTCTTTGCATATCATATTCTCCTAATGAAAAGTCGAAAATTTGGACGAGAAACTTTGTAAAATTGGTCTCTGTTAAAAATTTCGAGTGCCACCTCTTTGCATATCATATTCTCCTAATGAAAAGTCGAAAATTTGGGCCAGAGACTTTGTAAAATTGGTCTCTGTTAAAAATTTCGAGTGCCACCTCTTTGCATATCATATTCTCCTAATGAAAAGTCGCAAATTTTGGCCAGAAACTTTGTAAAATTGATCTCTGTTAAAAATTTCGAGTGCCACCTCTTTGCATATCATATTCTCCTAATGAAAAGTCGCAAATTTTGGCCAGAAACTTTGCAAAATTGATCTCTCTTAAAAATTTCGAGTGCCACCTCTTTGCATATCATATTCTCCTAATGAAAAGTCGAAAATTTGGGCCAGAAACTTTGCAAAATTGGTCTCTGTTAAAAATTTCGAGTGCCACCTCTTTGCATATCATATTCTCCTAATGAAAAGTCGAAAATTTGGACGAGAAACTTTGTAAAATTGGTCTCTGTTAAAAATTTCGTGTGCCACCTCTTTGCATATCATATTCTCCTAATGAAAAGTCGAAATTTTGGGCCAGAAACTTTGTAAAATCGGTCTCTGTTAAAAATTTCGAGTGCCACCTCTTTGCATATCATATTCTCCTAATGAAAAGTCGAAAATTTGGGCCAGAAACTTTGTAAAATTGGTCTCTGTTAAAAATTTCGAGTGCCACCTCTTTGCATATCATATTCTCCTAATGAAAAGTCGCAAATTTTAGCCAGAAACTTTGTAAAATTGGTCTCTGTTAAAAATTTCGAGTGCCACCTCTTTGCATATCATATTCTCCTAATGAAAAGTCGCGAATTTTGACCAGAAACTTTGTAAAATTTGTTCCTGAGAAAAATTCCGTGTGCCACCTCTTCCAGTATTATATTTTCCTAATCAGAAATCGCAAAATTGACTAAAAATCCTGGCTGGCTATCCGAAAATTTTGAATCTTGAAATTTTTGGAATAATTTTCCGTGATTCCTCTTTATGTTTTATATTCTCCTAATACACAATCGAAATTTTAGCAAATTATTTGCCAAATTTTTCGATTTTGTAACAGGAGTATATAATCATAAAGAAGATGGCACGAATAATTTTTCCAAAATTTTCCCAATTCATAATTTTGTGCCATTGGCAGAAATTTTTGACTGTATTTTACGATTTTGTATTAGGATAATATAATCTTATTGGAGGTGTCACGCAGAAATCCTTTTTAATTCTGTACATTTACCTTTCATACTTACCTTTATTAACCATTGAAACTTGCATTTTCAGGACCTATAATAATTTCTTTTTTTTTTTTCTTTCAACATTTTACTTAAATCTAAATTAGTTTAATGAATATAGTGTTTTACTTACCCTTTGCATATTGTTTTCTTTTTGTGGAATCCAACATTTCTTGATTAGTTTTTTATATATATAGTATGACAGAATGAAGAAGATATTCCTCAGTTAATCACGTATATTTTTTTATAACAGATGAAATTATAATAATATTTTGTGAAGAAATGTTGATGGCAGCAAATGAAGATAAATCTGAAAAAAATATCTAAATATATAATAAATATAAAAATATATCAGTCAAAACTATAAAAATAAATGTTAAAATCGAGAATTATATTCTCTTAATAGAAAATTGTAAAATTGATTGAAAATCTTGGCTGGCTATCCGAAAACTTTAAGTCTTAGAATTCCTGAAAATGTTTCTTGTGCCACCTCTTTATGTAACATATTCTCCTAATGAAAAATTGATATTTTAGGCTTAATTTTTAATTTATTTTAGATTATGCAATTTCTCGTAACATTTCTTTGTAACAGGAGAATATAATCATAAAATAGGTGGCACATGAAATTTTTCGAGGATTTTCGTAACTCAAAATTTTGTGCCATCGACAGAAATTTTCGACTATATTTTACAATTTTTTTATTAAGATAATATAATAGTCAAAGAGTCGACACGCGAAAATTTTTTCGAATTCAATGTTAATTTGATTCCGTATTATCAAGAACTTATATACTTTATTTTCATTTTTTAAATATATATTTTCTTATTTTTACATACTTATCAAATAAATCAAAAGTATAACATTATATGAAATATCCAAAATTAAAAAAAATAGAAAAACATATATAATACTTATACAAGCTTTATATACGATTATAATGTGGTTATTTAAAAATAGAATTTGAATTCGTTTTTTTGGACAAATAAATAAATTTTTCCTTTATTATTACTCTTTTGTTATTTATTTCCTTCCTAAAACGATAAAAGGATTGATTGAACGTTTCTCGCTGTTATGCTAAGCAATCTTTTATCGGAAAAGAAAAACTAAACTTTCTTCGCTACAATGTAATATCGTTATAACGAAAATGATTTCGACTTATCTCGTAAGCGCCGCAACACGGTTCCAATAATTTGGCAACGCCCGGCCACAGACTGACTGAAACTACTGTATTCCGGTCTGGGTGGTCCGTGTCGTAACGCGTACAATTCCCCCGAAAGATTACACGCATCTGTCGACGTGTTCTCGATCCGTTCCCGATCTCCCCTCGGAAAAAGAAATATCGCGTTACATCCGACACAGGCGGGGCTCGTTAAAGCCCCTCGTTTTATTCTTCGAATATTGGCCTCCTTCAAATTTTTTAATTATTTTCCTCATAACATACATGTACACACGCTTCGATTAATGTCGAGAGAATGGATAAACTTAGCACGAATATACACAAGGACAAAGTTTAGAGTTTAATTGAAATAATACACAAAAAGTTGTCGAAAAGTTATCTTTGTATACGTAATCACATTATTGAACGTAAGATCGCAAAGGATTTATATACACATTGACATTTTTCTCTAGTTCAATTAATAAATTAATAAACGACTATATATAACAATAATCGAGCTATATATAACAGAGCATACAATAATATTTAAAATTTTATTATTTTGCGAACACCTATATACGTATACATGTATACATTCTCTTTCCTTCCATCCATACATACACACATTCCTTCCCAGAAATCGAATCCAACAAAATGCACTCGATTCGAGGAACCTTCTGCTCGACAACCTTCTTATCTCCCGTGGCACGTGAAAATCCACGTTGTCGTGAGAAACGAGTGAGAATCCTTGTGAGAAAGGAAGTCGCGTGCGGTCGAGCATCATTCAGATGCTTGGAGCCAAGGTTGCCTTCTGCACAGGTCGGCTTCTTCGAGCATGTAGTTGTTACTATACCTACAGAAGGGAATTCTCGCGACGCACGCGCGTCTTCCACGATGTTTACACCAAAGTTAATCCCGACTGCGTGGAGGAGAGATGCCGGTGAGGCTGACAGGGAACGCCGTGGGGCGGTTGGACGCTGCCGGTGTACACGATGATAATAATAAACGTTGCTCTCTCTCTCTCTCTCTCCCTCTCTCCTTCCCCTCTCTTTCTCTCTTCCAGCGACCGCTGCCCTTCGCCTTTCCTTTTCTTCGTCTTCTCTTCTCCCGCTCTCACTTAGCGCGCGCGCGCGGCGGCCCCTTTGATCTCTCGCTTCGTTTGTGCATTTAAACACGGCTTTCCGAGTAGCGTGGCCGACCAGGATACCGGGGGAAAACCCGAAGAGAAAGAGAGAAACGTCGTCGCGCCAAAAAAAGAGAGAGGGAGAGAGAGGAACGAGTCGAGTGGAGGAGAAAAATCTGGTGGGGACCTCCAGAGACGCAAAGTGAGTTTCGCGATTACAAACGAGCCCTCCTTATTATTACGAGTCCTTTTTTTCATTCTCGACCATCCTCTCCCAACTCGCATCTTTCCTCCCCGTCACGGTCATCCCTTCCCCGATTTTTCCTTTCCTTTTTTTCTCTCTTCTTCCTTTGTCACTCTTCATTGTCGCTTTTATTGTGCGCCTACGACGAGCCCTCGAAAATATTCCTTCTTCTCCTCCTCCTCCTCGAGGAGGATAACTCCTCGAGATTTAATGCTCCTTAATGGACTCAATGCGGGAGAAGAACGCCGCGCGGGCATTTTAACGCGGCCCTTTAATCCGCTCGCGCGCACCCAAGGCCCTGAAACGGGAGAGAAAAGGGGTGAGGAATTACGAGCCGAGCATCGCGGACTTGCGGGGAGAGATGGGCTTGCTCTCCTCCCGACCTCTGTGCATTCTCTCCCACCCCTTTACTTTTCACATTTCACCCCTTCGAACCGTTCGAATCGAACCTCGCCTCGCGCCTCGTTCACTTTCCCTAAAATATAAAACTAAAAAGTGAGAAACAAAGAGAGAGAGAGAGAGAGAGAGGAAAAAGAAGAAACGCTCGTATCGAAGGAGGATTGAAAGGAGATATACGTACGCGCGCATTGGCGGAAAGGATTAATTCGCAAAGTAATCATCCACCGACGTCTACCTGGTAGGTGTCTCGAGTCATTTCCGCGAGAAATTATTTTCCTGGAAAAGCTAACAGCTCTCTCGAATTAAAAATTAAAAAAAAAAAAAAAGGAACGAACCCTGAGGAGGAGGAGAAGACTGGATCGTCGCGGGTACAAAAAGTGAAAAAGATTGGACAGGCTACGCGGGCCCA